TGACAAATAAGCAGATCGGTCGATATTAAACAGATTGATTTATCTCACTTGTGTGCTTTCTGACTTCAACTCGTTTTTAACTCAGTGTATGTCAGCTATGCCTCCAGATGTCCCTGTTCTCTCTCACTCCGTCTCATTAAGAGGCAGTAAAAAAGTTAAGGGTTGGCATCATAAAATCCCCACCATAATGAGTGGTAAAGTGCAAACAAACAAACGCGAGAGAGGTCAAGGGCGGCCGAGAGCAACACCCTTAGTGGCCGGACAAAAATCTGCAGACTTTCACACACTGGGTGACCGTTCCCCATGCCTCCCTGACACGCCCAGACCAGAGAGTGATTACTGTGGGACAATGGAGGCAGCCTAGGACAGACAGACAACCTGTCAGGAGGTTGGGAGGAACCTTAATCAAAGTGAAAGCCTCTAACGGCATCACGCTGATTAATATAAACCTCCAGAGTCTTCATAGGGGACCGACCCGCTCGCTCGGAACGAACCGGGTTTGCTCACGGGTTGCTCGGCAACAGTGAGAAGGAATGAAGCGTCGGAGCTGCTGCGATTAAAGCTGTGGACTCCGCCGGACCGACCAGCTGCTGTCCTGTCCCGCCACAGTCTGCAAATCCCGCTCGAGTCTGCGTATGTTATAAGGCTTTGCTCTGTCTGTTGTTTCAGATTAGGTCGATTTCAAAGAGCTTTCACACTTTTATTAGGTACATGTGTTTCATGCAGCAGTGGTCAGGCTTAAAGAAGCAGCTCAGCACACAGCACACACTCTGAGATCTTTGTTTATTTAGATTTTAGGCAGCTCTGGTCGGTTGCAAAGACCATGTTTGGGGCAAAATTCAGAATTGAAGATTTGACTTTTTTACTTCATCACACTGCAGTTATTTTTCTGAATTGCTTTATAGCTCTCAGAATGGAGGGGTTCAGAGTCCACATAAAATAATAATTTACAAAGTTTGTTTTGTTTATTTTGTTTAAATTGTTAGTCTCTCTGGGTTTCCCATATATATATATATATATATATATATATATATATATATATATATATATATATATATATATATATATATATATATATATATATATATATATATATATATATATATATATATATATATTATAATCCTATTAGCTAAAATAATAAAAGAAAACTCCATGATAGTGTTAACAAGAACAACATAAAATGTACTGTGCTGCCATACACTGCATTTCAAACGCTGTAATTTGATCTATTTACGCTGTGATATATAGTGCTTTCACCAAACATAGACTTTAATTGGGCGGGCCACCCAGGTATATTTAGTGACACATTTTTTTATATATATATTTTTATTATTAACATCCTTTTACACTTTTTTGTATCCGTTCATTATAACCAAACATCCGTGATCGATTAAGTAGTGGAAAATCTTTTCTCGTTTACCAGTTTTGTTCTGTGCCCACAAGACCTGTCAACAATTGTGCAGTTTCATGTGCTCTTCAGACCCACAGAGACACGCATTTTTGGGACTTTGCATTTGCTTTTTAAAGCTTGTATGCATTTTTGCATTACTTTTTTATTAAAGACTATTTTCCGTCTGGTTTCACAGCTGACAGCACACACACAGCTGTGAGACCGAGAGGAAAAAGTAAATAACAGATTCATTATTCTAAACGACTCAGAAAAACCGAGTACTGGGAAACACCCATACACTCTCACATTCACATACGCACTTGTACACTACAGCCAGTTTGTTTATCCAATTCACCTATAGTACATGTCTTTGGACTGTGGGGGAAACCGGAGCACCTAGAGGAAACCCTCACGAACACAGGAAGAACATACAAACTCCACACAGAAATGCCAACTAGCTAAGCCAGGACTTGAACTAGCGACCTTCTTGCTGTAAGGCGACAGTGCTAACCACTGAGCCATCATGCTGCTGTAAGGCATCTATGATTTTCTGAAATATTATGAAAACAGCTATCTATCATAAATTGAACGTTATAAAAATGTGCTCGTTTTATTTTTATTAGTTTCATTCCTGTTCTATGATTTCAATTTTGAGTTTTAATTGAAACATCATTTTCATTTCTGGATAACAAACATTGCTGCTGTTAGGAACTTCCACCAGAAGACCTTCAGTTCATCCTATAGGATTGTGAGAAGCAGGTGAAAGTGAGACCGCACGTCAATCACCTCTTCCCAGTGTTTATGTTTTGCTTATGCAGCTGACAGTCCCAAACCCTTGATTATCTGTCCTCAGCACATGCCATGATCTTCAGCCTCTCCTGTCTACCCAAAACCAAACCTGATCCTTCCTGCTTTAGTGCTAACAACCTCCTGCACTGCTGTTTTAATCCCTGCGACTCCAAATAAGAGTATTTCATGACGCAACTGTGGTCAGCTCTGCACAAAAGCTCATCACACCACTCCCTGCACCGGGATCTGTAGGTTTAACACTGAAGAATGTGATGGGATCAGGATGGATGAGAGCCAATGGAGCCACTCTGTAATGCCTCTTAGAACAACAAGGACCTGTAATAGACATATACTGTGTCAGGATTAAACAAATGTAGCATAGTTAGCATCCGTTTACGCTGACTGCTTCCATGTGTGATATTGCAGGCCTCACACATTTTCACTTACCTTTGCTCCTTGTCGGCGTGGTGCACCTGCCCGGCTTCATTTCAGGCTGCTGACGGCTTCTCTCATCGGCTATCGCATAGAGTGACCAAATGACCTCACCTCCTCTTCCCCGCTCCCCGTTAGAGCTTGTCGCTGGGACTAATTTATCAGAGGAGTAGGGGGCACAAAGAGGTGCTTTATTCTGTCCCCCCTTCCCATATGAAGATCTACTCCCTTGGAATTTCCACCCCCCACATCGACAACCACAGACTAAACCATCTTTTATCCTTTTTTTTTTTATCAAAGACTACTCATTAATAAATAATCAATAACAAAACAACGTCCGTTAAATCCTTCTAATCTGAAAAGCCTCCCTCTCCTGCGGCATGAACAACTGCACTTTACTAGAAGAAGTCCTTCAAAAGTTATGGCATTTTTCCCCTCTGCACCCACTGTGATTGATGGAGCAGCCACAACAGGGGAAACATCGGTCCACCTCATATTCTTATAAACATCAACACGCTGGTTAAGAAAAGCAGGCCTCCCCGTCGCAGTGCCAGACGTGTAAATAAGCTTCCCTGTGGGAGAAAAGAGAACCACTGCGCTGTGCAGCACTCTCACATACAGCAGTAATCACCGCCATTGTTTACGCTCAACTCAAAAATGCTAGGATTTGTCTTTATGTGGCCATTGCTGCATATCAACTGAAATGCATCTCAGACGTGCTAAAAGAAAAGCCCCCACAGTTTGTTTGCTTCTTTGCAGAGTTGTGGCTCTTGTAGCACTGACCCCCTCTAGAGGATCACAGAGGAACTTCCGCAATTATGGCAACCACATGTAGAGTCTCAGCTTTTTGTATTATTATAGGGGCAATGTCAAAGTTAAGATATATTGCTATTGATTTCTTCAAGATCTTGGATATATTTTGTGCTAAATGTATATTTATCTGTTTTTTTTTTGTTATAGTGATGTAATAGAACAGAATAACTTTTTTCAAATTCTAATGAAAGTTTTGTAATATAAATACTTGTTTTCTACATGTAAATAAATCCTTTATGTTAAATGTTCTTCATGAAACCCCTGAATAATCTATCTATCTATCTATCTATCTATCTATCTATCTATCTATCTATCTATCTATCTATCTATCTATCTATCTATCTATCTATCTACACTGTAACATCTACAGTAACTTACTGGTTGCAGGTTACCAGTAACTTACTGTAAATCAATTACAGCAAAAATACTGTATTTACAGCACCATTTATCTTGCTCTATTTGTGTTTACATAATTGTATGTATATTTTACTGTAAAACATACAGTAATGTAACTTTAAAACACAATAACATGCTGCATAAATGTCCTACCATAAAATACAGTTCATATTACAGTCAAATACTGTGTAATTTCCAATAATCATTAACAATCTATCTATCTATCTATCTATCTATCTATCTATCTATCTATCTATCTATCTATCTATCTATCTATCTATCTATCTATCTATCTATCTATCTATCTATCTATTCTGTTAACAACTTCCTGTAGCATCTACAGTAACTTACTGTAAATCAATTACAGCAAACAAATACTCTATTTACATTTATAGCACCATTTATCTTCCTCTATTTGTATTTACAGAATTGTATGTATATATTCACAGTAAAATATACAGTAATGCAACTTTAAAACACAATAACATGCTGCATAAATGTCCTACAGTAAAATATCATTCATATTACAGTTAAATACTGTGTAATTTACAAAAATCATTAACAGTCTATCTATCTATCTATCTATCTATCTATCTATCTATCTATCTATCTATCTATCTATCTATCTATCTATACTGTTAAAAAATTCCTGTAGCATCTACAGTATCTTACTGTAAATCAGTTACAGCAAAAATTATCTTGCTCTATTTGTATTTACATAATTTGTATGTATATATTTACTGTCAATTATACAGTAATGTACTTTAAAACACAATAACATGCTGCTTAAATGTCCTATAGTAAAATACAGTTCATATAAATACTGTGTAATTTACGAAAATCATTAACAGTCTGTCTATCTATCTATCTATCTATCTATCTATCTATCTATCTATCTATCTATCTATCTATCTATCTATCTATCTATCTATCTATCTATCTGTCTGTCTGTCTGTCTGTCTGTCTGTCTGTCTGTCTATCAATATGATCTATCTGCCTGTCTGTTTTTTCAAGGTTCTTTAGTTTTGAAAAAAAAAAGCGTGATATGCTGAAAAAGCGCGTGTTGGTAGCCCGTGGGGTGTCTGACGTGGGGGGCTCGCCCTCTAAATAAACTTTGGAGTTCAGAGAGGGGAAAGAGACGGCAGAGAGCTGAAGTCATCAGTTACCAGACGAGCACACGAGCTGAGAGCAGGCGAGAGATAGTGAATTGCTCAACCGTGAAACTGTGAGCTATCGAGACTGAATAGAGAAAAGCGACGCTATTTACAAATCAGGTTTCACTGAAAAGTTCTTCGAGATGCTGTGATGAGGATGACGCGAGGACCTCCTACACGTCAAGCTCAATAAATAAAGTAACCTTCACACCTGGACGTGTCGTGCTGGATCACAGAGGGGAATACATACAGTCATTCGGGAAGACAATCCAACTTTTTTCTCACCATGCCAATTTAATTTGCTCGCCTCCTCCCCATCTTTACGTTTTGCGCTGGATGGAGAACTAGCACTTTTTCACTGTTTCCATGGAATGAGTGGCTCTCTCTTTGGATATCTCACAGTGGCACATATGTGGATTGCCTCCAATATGTTACTGCCGAATCGGCCCAGGTGCATATGGGCCATTGAAAATTCTCTTTCTTTTGCGCGTGAGCACAACTGGGGCTTCTGCCCGGTTTAGGAATAACATATTGAGTATTGCACACATCACAGTGCGATAAGCGACATTGAAATTGACAAGACAAGCATCATTCCCCTGATTACTATGCAATTGCAACTGATCTCCATTGTTTTGATCTTGCATTTTATGGAATACACAAACTGTCAGCATCACGGCTCCAGGCACCGGGGAAACAAACGTAAGTTCTGCACGCTGCTGATCTGATGCTTTGCGCACACCTGCACTGTAGCGTACACTGGATGTTTGCGTGCATCACTTTTTGGTGGACATGATTTTTGAAACATACTGTGTTGTAATTTTTTCGGTTTAAGAGACTTGAAAAATGTAACACGATTTAAGTAAACATCTATGCATGATGGATGAATGAGGATACGTTTAACGGGTTAGAAATTTAATATTTTAATAATTGTATTTTATGTACATGTTATTGCACATGTGTCTAATATTTAAATACTAAAAGTAAGCAAAAATCACCGGGAACGCCATCAGCTCTTGCATATTGGCAAAAAAAAAAACAACAGCTGACAATTCAGATATGTGTTTGAATTATTATTAATTTGAATAGTTGTTATTTAAGTTATTAAGACAGCTATCGACGTTTGCTCATGAGCTATGTTGTGATAAACGTCCTGGGTTACCAATTGCATAATACTTTTAAACCATAAAGCAGTCGCTTTATTTATGTGCTCTGAGGCTTTTACGTATCTTACTGTAGGCTTTAAGCAATTTAATAAATATACGTATAAATAACAGCAACATATAGCTAATAAACAATATGAATGAATTTGTGAAATCATGATTGTAGACCTTAATGTAAATCCAATATTTGATGTAGCCTAGCTAATTTAGTTCCGTTCATTGGTCCTGTTGTATCTTATTTTCTTTAAAAGTAGCCTAAAAGCAGCTGAGTGGTGCAAACTTTGTAAATATTTCAATAATTCTATCTGATTTTCGTTTTTTGCTTTGGCTTGTCAGATATGATATCGGGTTGATTTTACTAAGTTTGTTTGTTATAATTGTTGATTTTTATGATGGTTTTGGTTGTGATTGGACTGTCTGCACGAAAGACCTGGCAACCCTGAAAGAGAGCGCTGTCGCTTCACAGGATTTCTCAGTGAAACTGCGCCTGTCAGAAAATGTGGTTTTGTTGTTCATTGTTGAGATTTAATGGCTTATTTTGAGAAATACATAAAGTACGCGACACTACAGTGAGCAGGGAAGTAAATATGACAGCAATTGTGCACCAAAGATGAACTTTTGATGGAAAACGTTGCTTTGAGGTAAAAGACGCGCGATTTACAGATGTTTTCTTTTTAGTAAACACGTGTAATTTGATTCATACACGTAACTTACGTTTACGAGGAACAGACTGCTAGTTTAATCATGCAATTTAGTTACATCATCTACCTTTTTGACTTTGTTGTCGTTTCAACTTCCATTTACAAGCATATAGTTGCTTTGTTTTGCTGTGTCGTGCTGCCTTTTTTGTAATTAGTGCAAACTTTGAAGTAATAATGTATATTCCATTATTATATTTTCTTTGTGCACAACTTATACAGCGTGAGTGTCCAGTTGATTTTCTTGTTTGGATCGCTCTCTAGCGGCCACTGCTTTGCGCAGAAACCCTTTCAACCAAGTAGCGCGGTTGGTGGCTCTTTCTGCTCGCCAACACATTTCTGTACTAATGGCAAACTTGCTTTTATTGTTTTAGTTTGCAACATTAATTGATTCTATAGACGCAAAAACTGAAGTTTATTTAACTTTTCTAGCTCAACATTATCTCACACCAGCCAAGGGCTATTTCGCCACCTGTAGTTGAGTGCGTAAAGTACCTGTCAAGAAGTTTTATAGTTCAAGATAACAAGATAACACATTCCCAGTTTGGTTCGAAATGACATTTTAATCAGAAGCATTGCACAAGATTGTAACCAAATATTCAGGGTTGTGAGGAACCTTGTGTAATTTGGGGATCATGTCTCCCCCTTCACTCTCTGTGTTGGTCATAACACTGGATGAAGTGTTTATATGAATATTTTCGGTTAACATGGGAGAGAGAAACAACATTTCGGTAACTGAGCTCTGAAATAAGTATTGCAGGAAAGCTCTTGCTCCTGAGTGTGATTTTCATTTCAATAAGCAATTGCAAGTATGACTTAAAAGGCCTAATTAGAACGACTGCGTAAACATTTGGTCCAAGTTAGTTGGTGACAAAGCCAATTTGATGCAAATGCATAGCTTTGGGTTTCAGGGAGCCACAAAAATGCCATCATGGCTATGTGGCTCTCCGTGTGTTATTTCATCGCTGGTAGAACAAAATGATATGGAATTCAAAATGCAAAACGCTTATCCATATTTTTTAAGTTTTAAACGGAAATGATGCCAGAACTTTGGACTGTGGTCAGAACATTGTCTTCAGCATGCTAAATGTGTTTTCTTATGTGGTATATGGGGGAACTATTATGTTTAATCAAACTCTCACAGCTAATTAGATCAATATACATGCTGTCTTTTCGAATTAAAATTTAGAGAGGGAATGAACTTAGTTCATCCTTAAAGAACAGAATCATTTCAACATATTCGATGTTTTAAAATATTCAGAATAGATATGAACAGAGTAAAAATGCTTTACTTACTTATTTTTTGTATTGTTTCTAGTCCAAATATCAAAAAAGTCCTAAACCAAGAAGCATTTTCTAGACGAAGAAAAATGATTGTCTTGTTTTAAGAAATAAAATGCCCCTATAAGTGAGTTTTTCCTTTAAAAAGCAAAATAATCTGCCATTGGGGTCTTCTTGTTTTTTATTTTGAATAGTCATCAAGACTATTTTGCTTACCCAATTATTTAGCTTGTTTTAAGGAAAAACTCACTTAATTTTGGCATTTTATTTATTAAAACAAGACAATATTTTTTACTTGTAGAAAATGCTTCTTCAAGTAATTTTTAGATATTTGGACTAGCACAAGTCAAAAGAACTGTAGAAAGAAAAGCATTTTTTGCAGTGATGAGATACAGGACACATAACATCTATGTTGATCCTGCAACATCCTTTTGTTTAAAAATCTAATTCGTACCTATTCCCTACCCATAAACCCAACAAAACTTTAAATTATTTCCAAAAATCAAAGGGAGTTATTAGTTGGATAACAATTATGTAGAAGTGCATAAACCCTAACTGTAAGCCTAAACTTAATATAAATGGTAAACATATCCCTTAATTCTGATTGGCTGATTAGAATGTTGTTCCAGGTTAAACATAGACGTTGATCCAGGAACATGTCCTACTTGGTAAAATCAGGTTGGAGAGATACAGGTGTACAGGAATAATGAATACATGTAGTCAAATTAATGGTGCACTGTAAAACCCAATAAGTTAAGGCAACTCAAACCGTTTGAGGAAACCAATTGCAACAATCCATTTGAGTTAAAAAAAGAACTACGGTATATGAGTACTGTGAACTTACTCCATTTAAGTTGAAGTAATGAGGTATTTAATTAACTCATTACCTTCAACACTTACTTCAAAACTCTTTTCAAATAACTAGAAGTAAAGTTCTGTAAATTTTGAGTTAACTACAATCATTTCATTTATTAAAGTTTACTGTTGGGTTTTACAGTGTGTTTGACAGACACTTTTACAGTGACATGCATAATAACCGTTGTCTCTCCGTATGCTCCAGCCTTCATCAGTGGCTAATTAAGAGACTTTGAAATGTCTGTGATGGACAGAAACGGGGGTGAATGACCATGGCTAATTTATCAGTTCACAGCGAGTGACCAAACGGTCGCCTGACCTCAAACATTTCCTGTCTTCTGTCTCTGTGTCTCCTCATTGACAAGTACAAGCCACAAGATGTTGATTTGCATGTCAAATTGACACCTTTTTAGTGTTTGTAGACTTAAAATGGTTTCAAAAAACAGTATTGCCGTTAAGAAAGCATTTTAGGTTTCATACAAAGAGCCTTTCTGGGAACTGTTCTCAAAATAACTATTTTTTTGGCTTATTGAGGAAGAATAATTTAATAATCTAAAGTGGCTTTTCTACTGTAATTGATGTTTTAGTTCTTCATGGAATAAAATTATACCAATATACACTCTCTGACAAAAGTTTTGTCATCGATCCCAGTTGTAAGAGCAACAAATAATAACTTGGCTTCCAATTCATCATTTGGAAAAGTGGCAGAAGGTAGATTTTCTTGATGAACTAACTGTGTAACTGCATCCTAATCATCACAAATACTGCAAAAGACCTATTGGAACCTGCATGACCCAAGATTCTCATAGAAATCAGTCAAGTTTGGTAATAGAAAAATCATGGTTTGGGGTTACATTCTGTATAGGGGCATGCAAGAGATCTACAGAGTGGATGGCGACATCAGCAGCCTAAGGCAGGGGTGTCAAACTCAATTCCTGGAGGGCCGAAGCCCTGCACAGTTTAGTTTCAACCCTGCTCCAACACACTTACCCGTAGGTTTCAAATAAGCCTGAAGGACTCAATTAGTTTGATCAGGTGTGTTTAATTAGGGTTGGAACTAAACTGTGCAGAGCTGCGGCCCTTTTGGAACTGAGTTTGACACCTGTGGCCTAAGGTATCAAGACATTTGTGCTGCCCATTACATTACAGACCACAGGAGAGGGCAAATTCTTCAGCAGGATAGTGCTCCTTCTCATACTTTATCCTCCACATCAAAGTTCCTGAAAGCAAAAAAGGTCAAGGTGCTTTAGAATTGGCCAGCCTAGTTACCAGATATTAACATTATTGAGCATGTCTGGGGTAAGATGGAGGAGGAGGTTTTGAAGATGAATCCAAAGAATCCTGATGAACTCTGGAGGTCCTGCAAGAGCACTTTCTTTGCCATTCCAGATGACTTTATTAATAAGTTATTTGAGTCATTGCAGAGATAAATGGATGCAGTCATCCAAGATCATGGGAGTCATGCACAATATTAATTCTTTTTCCTCTGCACCATGACTGTATATTCTATAATGTACATTACTTCTGTTAAGTAGCAAGACTTTTGTCTAAGCAAATTCAGACCTTACTGTTCTAATTAAATAATTAAAAATCAAGGCATGATATGATTTTGTTTTGGTAAAACAAGTGTAATCTAGAAGCCTTTGGCTTTCATGTAAGCCACTTCTGATACCCAATAATCAACTAGAAATTATTTGTGGTTCCT